CGGCCGGACTGGTGGGGGCGGCCTCCCTCCCGCCGTCGGAGGACACCCCGGGGGCGGCGTAGCCGGAGCGGTGCCGACCCGTCGGACGGGTTGGGGGGAGCCGCCGCCCTGAGCGGGAGGCGCGGACCGCGGTGCCCGGGCGGCGGGCGCCAACGGAGCCGTCGCCCCGCCGGTCCTGTCCTGACACCCCTTTTCCCCGCAGAGGATGCTGCAGCAGGACGGCGCCGCCGCTGCCGTCAAGCGGGAGGAGGACGACTTGGGCAAGTTCGTGGACTTGGACTTCATCCTGGCGCACACCAGCAGCGGCGGGCAGGGGCCACCCGGCCCCGGCCCCAACTACCCACTGCCCGAGACCCCCGAGAGCTGCGGCACCACCTACGACAGCGACGGCTCCTACTCCACCCCGGGCAAGTACCCGGCGCCTTATCCCGAGGGCCAGGGCCACAGCTACGTGGCCGAGCTGCTCACCCCGGACCTGCCCGGCCACTGCGACCTGCAACGGCGGGAGTACACGGAGCTGCGGGTGCCCGGAGGACCCTCTCACCACCACCCCCATCACCACCCGCCCCTCCACCCGGCTCTGGCCCGCCCGCTGCCCCTGGACCCCGCGCAGCCCTTCGGGTCCCGCATCAAGAAGGAGCAACCGGAGGATCGCGCCTGCATGCTGGGGCTGCCCGCCGCCGACTACCTGGGGCCGGGCGGTGGCGAGCACAAGCCACGCGTAGCGCCGGGTCCCGGACCGGGATCGGTGCCGGGGCCACCGCTGCCCTACCCGGGCTTCGCCCACGGCCGCCTGGGTCCCCCCGAGGAGCCGCTGCCCGGCGCCGACCCCCATCTCCTGGCCGACCTGCCGCCCCACTACGCCGTGGCCCCGCACCGCTACGCGCCCCACTTCGCCCCCCAACCGCCGCCGCAGTTTCATGGACACTTCAGTGTTTTCAGGGAGCCCCTGAAGGGGCCGGGGCCGGCGGGGTTGCCCGGGCTGCTGGTCACGCCGCCCAACTCCCCGGTGCTGGAGTACTTCCCGGCCGGAGCCCCCCCCGAGGACTGCAAGCCCAAGCGCGGCCGCCGTTCGTGGGCGCGTAAGCGGACGGCCACGCACAACTGTGAATACCCGGGCTGCGGCAAGACCTACACCAAGAGCTCCCACCTCAAGGCGCACATGCGGACCCACACGGGTAAGGGGGCGAGGTGGGAGGGGACGGGGGGAACGGCGGCCACGCGGGGGGCATGCGGAAAGGGTCCTGAGTGGGGGGGAGCACGGTGAGACCCGCGGGCCAGCCCCGGCGTGGTTCCCGGGGGCGTGGAGGGGCTCCCGGGGAGGTGGCACTGGGGGCGAATGGATAAAACCCCCGCGGTGAGTCCGGCGGTGCACGGGGGGGTCCCCGTGGTGGGGGCCGGGTGGGGACACCCAGAGAGACCCCGTGGCCGGCAGGGGGCTACGCGGAGGGATCCTGCGTGGGGCAGGGTGTAAGTGGGGGTGTCCCCGGGAGCGTTCAGAAGGACCCCCGTGGTGGTGCCAGACAGGGGCACACGGGGACTAACTCACAGTGAGTTCATCCCTGCGACTCCCCCTTACTGCCCCTAGGGCCCAGGAGTACACGAAGAGGCAGGAGCTGGGGGCACGTGGAGAAGCCCCCCCAGCTGGGCTGTGGGCAAATGGAGGCGCAGGGGGGGAGGGATGGACACAGACTGGGGGTGTATGGTGAGACCCTCTGACAGAGCTGGGATGGGACATGTGGTGCCACCCCACAGCAGGGACGGGCACGGGGAGCACTCACAGTTTGAAGTGGGGCAGGGGTACATGGAGGGACGCTGCTATGGGGCAGGAGTGCCCAGAGGATGAGCACATGGGACAGTGGAGCACATGGGGAGGGGTGGGAAGATGGGGGATGAAAGGAAAGGTGGGTCAGGCAAAGGTGTGCAGGGGATGAGTAAGCAGTGGGGATCCTTGCTCCTAAGGACAGTGGGAAGGGGTCTCCCCTGAAAAGGTGGAGGTGCTGGGCAAGGGAGTGCAGGGATGAAGGCACAGGGGAGGATGGGGATCTCCCAACCCACTGACACCCCCTCTCCTCCGCAGGCGAGAAGCCCTACCACTGCACCTGGGAAGGCTGTGGCTGGAAATTTGCCCGCTCCGATGAGCTGACCCGCCACTACCGCAAGCACACGGGGCACCGGCCCTTCCAGTGCCACCTCTGCGAGCGGGCCTTCTCCCGCTCCGACCACCTCGCCCTCCACATGAAGCGGCACATGTGAGCGGCAGGCTGGGGCTGGACGCGCTGTCCCTGGAGCCAGCTCACCGTGTAAATAGCGTGGGGCTGGGGATGGCACCGGGGAGCAGCCCGGCCGCCCAGCCCTCTCCGCTTGTAGCTGATAAATAGTTTTCTCCTCCTGCCCTTGCTGTGAGAGCTGGGCCCGGCCGAGTGGTGGGGAAGGGCTGCTTTTGGGGTGTAGATGGGGGAGCAAAGCTGCAAGAAGTGTCTCTAGCCCCTGCTCGGGTACCACCACTCAGCTCTCCACACCTGGAGCGTTTCCCCCCCCCACCAGCCTGGTGAGTGACGAGGCTGGTGCAGCAAGGATCTGTCCCCAGAGCTCCTGGCTTGTATTTGGCATGAGCTTAAAACCCTTCCTCCTCCCCTGATCTTGGCATCCCCCTGGCTCCAGGGACTCTGGGGGCAGACTTTGGCCAGAGACCTGCGCCCACTGAATGTGTGGGTTGCAGCACTGGGAAGTGGATTGCTAGTCTTCTTGGTTGTGGCCATCAGAACAAACCTCCTGACCCAAAAGCCCAGGCTGGATGGGGCGAAGGTGGGACCTGACTGTGGCTCATGGCTATAAAGGTTTGCAGGGGTTGGCAGCGCAGTGTCACCTTGCAAAGGGAGCAGGGATGCTCCCATTGCCAGCTTGGGACCCTGATGGGAGTCCCGTCCTGGCCATTCCCACAGTTTTCTGCTCAGGAGTCTACAATGGCTCTCCTGGCTCTTGTCTGCTTTCATTTGTCATGTTCTTCCCCTCAGGATGACACCAGGTACTGCTGCAGCTGCCTTCCCCGTGCTGCTTCTTAATATTTAGTGTGTAAAGGACAGTGAGTCCAGCTATGAATGCCCAGGTCTCTGCTATACTTGAAACTTTCGTAGAGGGATAAAAAAAAAAAAGAAAGAGAAAACTCAAAAGAAAATGAGTCTTTTTATGTGCAGCTTCTGCAAAGCAAGTTGTAAATTAAACAAAGCAGTAATATATAATGTTTCTGGTTTTTTAATATATTTTTTTCTTCCAGCTGGGAACACAGATGAGTCTCGGCTTTGGGAAGTGCACTGTTCCCGTCTGTGTATATTGTTAATTAACATTTCTCTGCTTGGGCACGTTAGGTCTCTTGCACTCCGAAATGTTACTTTTCTTTATATGCAAACTGTTGAAATATTGTGATCTGCTGTATAATAAATAAACAAAATGTAAACATGAAAGAGCCAGGAGAGTTTACTTTAAAGCTTTCTTCTAAGAGGAGAGGGTGAGGCTGGGCTCGCTTGTCAGTAAATATTTACATCGATGTTCATTTCTGCTTAAGTTAGCTGCGGAGGATCGATGGGGAACGCCCAAGCCTCGGCATCTGAGCAGCATCTCCTGTGCAACAGCTCTTGAGTCACCCCACTTCCCCGTGCCTCAGTTTCCCTAATCTGCAGATGGGGCAATTGCGGCACTGGGATGGCGTGACTGGTCCTGCGGTGAGTCACAGCCGAGGGGAACGGCAGCCGAAACCGTACCGGGATCCTCGCCGGTCCCGTCTTATTCCTGAGCGGTTCTGTCCCGCTGTCCCCTGCAGCAGGAGCACTCTGGCATCGGCCTTGTGGTCATAACCAGGAGGTCGGTGGCAGCCACCCAGCCCCGTGTGCTGTCTCTGCTGTCCTCCCAGGGGTGGCCCAGCAGCTTGGCGGGGTTCAGGTGCTGAGGTTTCCCTGCGTTAATAGGTGGTGACTCAGCACGAGTGTGCTGGCAGGTCCCAAGCTCAGCAAGCAGGTCTGGCTCCATCCCTCCTCCCTCCCACGGCTGATTACCTGTGATGCACGCATCCCTCTGAAGGTTGGGACGTGTCCGGACCTGATGCCGTGCTGGCAGCGCAGGGAGCACGCCGCACGGGCTGTGTGGTGCCCTGGCCCAGGGTGGTGGTGGCTTCCTCCTCCTGTGCTTGCTGCCGCAACCCCAGGCGGCCGGCCAGGGCTGGGGGATGCCCTGGAGCTCCTCGCCCCGCAAGCGGAAATGGGATGTAGCTGTGCTGTGAACACGGGCTGGGCAGGGCTGATCCCGCTCTTTCCTGGTTTCCCGCTGGCAGCTGTGGAGAGTCGAGATGGGAACGGCAAAGCGGGACTGATACCTTCCCGAGGGGTGGCTAGTGTCCCGGGGCCAGCACCCTGCTTTGGGGTCTGCCCTGAGCAAGTACAGCAAGCGTGGGTGTCTCCAGGCAGGGTGGCAGCAGCTTAGGATGTCGCATCCTGCCTGCAGGCCCAGGCATGGGACCATGGGACTGCATCCACAGGTGTCACAGATCCACCAGGCTCAATCACTTGTCCTTTCCACAGCTGCCTCCACCCTCTGCTTGCCCCACTTTCTGAGAGCTACCTGCGTGGGGGTGGCCATGCTGGGACACAAGTGACCTGTGATGGGATACCAGGGGTGTCTCGCTCCTGGGACCCTCGCTACCCAAACTCGGCGGTCTGAGGCCGGTGGAGTGGCTGGGGCAAAACTACTGCCTCTTCCCCGGAATCCTGTTCAAAATGTCACATGGAGGGAGAGGGAAAGGTGTGGGCTGTTTGAATTAGCGATGAGTCAGGCTGGCAAAGCCAGATGGGGAGAGAGTGCGTGCCTGTGTGTTTGTATGCGTATAAGTAATCTCTGGCTTTGTGTTTTTATTATGATTATTATTTTTATTTCCAGGGGAACGATGAATTTCTCCAACCATCCTGTCCCACTGGAAAGGCTGGCTCTGCTGTCCTGTCCTCCCTAAGCATCCTGGGAGCCGGAGTGACGGTCCGCGGCTGTTTTGAGGTTCAGCTCTGAGATCAGAGCACAAACCAGTTCTTCCTCGCCTTTCATCATCGCTGCGCTAGGGCGGGAGCGAGGTCCGGCTCTGCTGCCGCTGCCTTACATGGAGGCGAGAGCAGGGGAAGGTGCTTTGGCTCCTTCTCTGGGCAAAGCCGCCCCAGGTTTGCTCCCCCGGGCCCGGGGCAAGGCGCTCCTTCGGGCACACGATGGGGCACGGCGGTTGCAGAGACCGGCATGGCTGGGAACTTTGCCTGGGCGAGGAGTGGCTGTAGTGGAAATGACAATTATGGTTAATTTGTTGTTAATAAAAAAACACCCTCTTCCAATTGCCTGGGCCAAGATGCACTCTCCAGTGGAGGAGGGAGCCCGGTTCTGTCCCCGGCAAAACCTGCCCCGCAAAGCGATGAGGGCAGCAAGAAAACCTTCTCAGCGGTGCTGAGGAAGGCAGGGCTGGGGCACAATCCCTGCCTGCGGTCTGTGTGCCCACAGTCATCTGGAAAGCCCTTTGTCCCAGCCTGGCAGGGGCACACGGGACCCAAAATGTTCCAGTCAACCAGGTGGGACCCTGCTTTGCAGGAGATGTGGCACTAACAGTGTGTCCTGTGTGGGAGGAGAGGGGGATGCTCTGGGTAAGCCACGCTGGTCCCTGAAGGGCTGATTTACTCACATACAACCCCTGGTCCATGGCTGGCCCAGCCTGGGGCAGGTCTTGGGGCCCTGGATCACACACTGGGCTGCTGTAGGGACGGTGCAGAGGGAAAGCTGGCTGGCAGGGCAGTGCTGTGGTGCCCAGAACACCCTGCCCAGAACACCATACCCACACTGGGGCCACACAGACCCCGCTCCGGGACGTATCTCCTCCCGCCAGCCTGGCCCTCCTTTCACCCCTTGGTCACTGCCTGGGAAAAAGGCCCCCGAGAGCTGTGGTGGTGGGTGATGCAGAGGTCCCTAAGCACCCCTGCAAATCTTAAAGCTCAACCCTGTGGCTTTGGGGTGAAGCGAGGAGGCAAGTGGGGAAGGGAAGGAGCGAGGTATGGAGAAACACCTCCCGGCAGAGGGGTGAGTCACGGCTGCAGTGTGGCCTACCACCCTACAGTCACCTGCCAGCAGGAGCAGGGGCCCGGGGGCTTCATGGCTGGAGAGGGGGCAAAAGAGCAGCTCGGGTGGGTTTCTGTCCTCTGGGAGTGACCCAGCTTGGGGGGATCCCCTGTGCTGCAGCCAACAGGTCCCACAGAGCCGGCCTGGGGATGCAGGGGCTGTGGCAAGGATGGGGGGATTGCAGGTTTGAGAGGGCTCCTTGCCTGGGGCTCAACCCTGGAGTTGCTGCAGTCCACAGGGACAGCATGGAGCTGGGCAGGGCATGTGGGTGCTGGAGGGCAGATGTAGCCTGGGCTCTCCAGGGTGGGACAGACAATTTGGGGGTGCTTGAAGGAGCTAACACAGACCTTTCCTCACCACAACACAAGGTGGGAGCTTGGGTCCTCATGGATGGAGCATCCCTGCTGAAGGATGCTCCCAGGGCTGGTGTCCCTCCTCCCAGTGGGGTGGTGGGAAGTGTCCCATCCCTGCCATGAGGGTTAGGTCCAGCAGCCTGCCCCCGTGTTCCCGCCACTTGGGGTGGGCCAGGCGCCGTGATAACGGGGTTGTGGCTGTCACCGCACCCTTAGGAAACATTTGGCTTCAGGCACCTGAACCCACGGGGAAGCGATAACTCCCCGTCTCGCTCACCCTGCCTGGACCCACACCTGGTCCTATCGGGCCTTAGTCACACACTGAGAGTTTTTCCACTGCTGGGCCCCAGATAACCTCCTCCCACCCCACTGGCCGCAGTGTTTGCACTTGTCCTCCTCCGCTGGTGCCAGGCTGGGAGACACGCACACCTTGAGCCCTGGGCTTTAGACACGCACACATCTGGCCTAGGGCCACCTTTGGTCATGCCTGAAGGCCAGGACAGGGGCAAAGGGCATGAGGAGCATCTTTTCCCCAGGACCCCAGGAGGGCAGGCGGTGAGAGGAGGCCAGCGCTGCCTTTCTGCCAGGGCTAACTAGGGGGGGGACATCCCTCTTCCAGCTGCTGAGTCCCCTGTGCCCACAGGCTGGCAGGAGGTGGGTGATGGGCTTGCAGTGACAGGACAGCGCTGCTGGCTTTTGCTGTCCCCCTGTCAAAGCCTTGGGGCGCAGGAGCACTGGGCTCCCTGCCATTGCTGGCTTTCCCCGACCAGCTGCATCCCCTGGGCTACCCCTGTGCCCTGGCAGGGCAGGACCTCAGCACCTCCAGGGAGGTGACAGACCTGGGAACGTGTCCCTGAGCAGGACTCTCAGGGATGGACCAGGTGTGTGGGGGCTGACAAGGTCTCCAGCTGTGTCCCTTCACTCTTTGAAGGCTGCACAAGCTGCACAGTGCCTGCATCCCAGAAACAACAGCTCTGTGCTTCCTTTGAAGACGGTGCTAATTGCTCCGCTGCTGATCAAGTTAGCAGAAGCACCCAGCTAATGTGTTTTGCTTGCAGGTCCATACAGCCGCTGGTGGGACACAGCCCTGCAGTGACACCCACGCACACAGAGGTGCGGGGGAGGCGGGCGGGTGAATAACACAGCCCAGCTGCCCACAATCTCCACCTTTCATGAGGTTAAAAAGCTGCTGCCCTGGGGAGAGGAGCTCAAAATGTGCTGCGGGCTTAGTTTGTTGAAGAGGAGTTGATCACCCTGCACCGGGGCAGGGCTTGGGCTGAGTCCTGCTGGGAGAGGGCTGGAAGCTGGGCTTGAGCAGGTCAGCCCTAAAAGTGGGGGATATAATCTAAATGTGACAGTGAATGGCCACCTGTTTCTGGATTCTATTTCAGGACTGGTTGTGTTTTCTCCAAGTGCTGTTTAACAGCATGAATGGACTGTGTATTAAAAAGTTTTCCCTGGAGCAGCAGTGCCACACTTGCCAGGCAGAGCAGGGGTGAGACTGCAAAGGCAGAGAAAGGCAGTGCTGGGAAAGCCTCATGTCCCTCTGCAGACCCACCTCGGTGGAGCACACACCCCATCTCCACGCCAGCCATGGCAAAAGAACAAGGAAAGGCGCTAGAAATGATTAGGAATGGCCACACGTGCTGATGGGGAAGGACTTGGGTGGATGTGGCAGAGCTGAGAGCACATGAGGAGGACAGGAGAAACTTTGGGATTAGCTCTGTCCTTGTGGTAGGAAGGGCCAAAATGCTGAAAGCCATCCCTGGCAGCATGGGAGGGGGTAGAAAAGGTCTTAAATGATTACTGGGGACAACAGATGACAGTCCCGGGTTGTCACCAGTTCTCATTGGGGCACACTGGTGCTGGCTGGTCCCTAGTGCAGAGGTGAGGTGCCAGTCCCCGTGGGAAGGGATCACCAGTGGGATGGAAATGGTGGCAACTCCAGCACAGCCTGGCTGCTGTAGAGGAGCTGTGTGCTGGAGTCACCCTGGCACAGCAGGTTCAGCTCACCTCGGGGCTGCTGCACAGGAGAGGACATCCCCTCAGGGGCACCCCTCTCCTGGGCTATCCGAGGTGGCTGTCGGATCCCCGTAGATCTCTGTGCCCCACATTAAAACCTTCTGCTTCAGACTAACCTCTGCCAGTCAGCCTTGCTCCTGCCTCCATACAGTGGGAAGGTGATTTCTCAAAGCCCCTCCTGATCCCACACTGTTTCCTCCCCTTTGCCCATTTCCCCCTCTCTTTCCTCCCACAGGGAAGTGGAAATGGGACAGTCCAATTAATAAAACTTTTGCCCCCGGCTGCCCCATGACCTCAGGGAAGCGCTGTGGCTCTGGAGTACTTCGGGAGGGTTTTCTTGCCGAGCATGAAGGCGAGGAGCTGACACTTTGTCAAACGAAGCCGGGATGGGCAGCCCGAATGCACCACGTGGTGTGGCGCCCGCCTGGCGGGTGGCCACCTGGCACGGCCAGTTGGCCACCAGCGAGGCTAGCCCGGCTGACAGTGAGGGTGGGAGAGCCACCGGGCGGCGAAGAGATGGGAAAACTCCTTACGAGCTCTGTGGGGAACTGTGGTCAGCCTCAAGCCCCTCGGGAGAGCAGGGCACTGTATGGCCCGCCCTTGCCCCCGGCCCAGGCAGAGCCCAGCGACCCTGGGGAACAGGGGACCCCCGGGCTTGTCGCTTCGGGCAACTGGGGGGCGAGAGTAGGAGCACCCCGGAAGGTCCTGCAGGCCACTGCTGCCCCACACTGGGCTACCCCTAGGCCGGCCTGAGGTGGGGGGATGGCCCGGGGCCAGCGCCGGGGACACCCGTCGGGCTCCGGCAGAGCACGGCTGTGCTGCCACCTCCTGGCGCGGCAGCGAGTCCCACCTGCAGCGGGCTCTTCACCCGCGGCGGGGAAGGAAGAGCGGCGGCCCCGAGAGCCTACGGGTGCCGCCGCGGGGGAGGCAGCACCGGCGGCGCCGAGCCCGGGGCGGCCGCGACCTACCGGGAGCGGGGCGCGAACGCGCTCCCCTCCGCTCTCACCCCCCGCTTCCCCTGGTGCCTCCCCCAAAGGGCTCCGGGCACTTCCGGGCGCCTCTCGGCGGGAGCGGAAGTGGCGCTGCCCGGGCCGCTGTGGTGGTCGCACCGTCCCGGTGGCCGCGGAGCCGGCGCGGGTGGGTGAGTGAGCGCGGGACCGGCTCGATGCGGGGTTGCTGTGGCCTCATGGCGGCGATTCGTCCCCCTCATCCTCCCACGGGGTTTCCGGGACCCCGTCGCGGGGCTCTGGGCCCTGGCTTCGGCGTGTGTGGACCCTGGGACCGGCCGGGTAGAAGGCCCCGTTGTTGGGCCTTGGGAGAATGGGGAGGCGGCTGCGGGGTGTGTGTATGTATGTGCAGATATACATGTGTGTGTATATGTATGTGTGAGTGTATGTACGTAGATACACGTGTGTATATATATACACAGATAATTGTTTACGTACGGGATAGCCCCCGCGGGAGGTGCACACTAACTCTGCCCCCCTTGTTTCCCCGGCTCCCAGAGCTGGAGAGGACGGACGGGACGGCGGCAGAGAGGGGCAGCGGGCAGGCGGAGAGATGGCGACCGGCGCAGATGTGCGGGACATCCTGGAGCTGGGCGGCGTGGAGTCGGAGAACACGGGTACCATCAACAAAAAGGATATCATCAACTCGGATAAGGTGAACCGCAACGCCCTAAGGGGACACTGCTTGTTTTCTAGGCGCCGACTGGCTTTGCATGTGGTGCCTGGGGTGAATGTTGGAAAAAAAGATGGAATAAAGCGTGTTCCTACCATAGCCTGTTTATTTTGGGGCTGCCTAGGAGTATCTGGAAATGTTTGGAGGGCCCCATTCCTGAGTTCCTGGTGTTCTTAGTTAACTGCACTGTAGCATTTGGGGCAGTATTTAAGCTGGAGCTGTATAAGTGGTGTCCTGGTGAGCTGGGCCTGCCCCCAGGACATTTTTAGCTGTCTCTAAAGTTCCCATTTTGTGGAGTAAGTGTGAAGTATATTTACTATCTAGCTCCCAAGCAGGTGGAAATAATATAACACAGTCCTGTTTTAGAAGAAAAAAACGGCTGACTTGATTGAACCATGGGAGAAGTTCCTGTGCAGGAAAGGGGTGTGATGGGTTTGGGAGAACTCGGCTGTGTTGCCTGTGGGAATGTGAGCAAGTTAATAAGCTCTGTTTAGGATGTATGCTGTCATGTGCTGTGTTCTGTGTGGTAACATGCTATGGTATGTTGTTGCTTTCTGTATTTTAAATTCAGGCAAGGTCTTGGGTGTCCTGTGCTTTGCAAAGTGCTGTGAAGGTCAATTCACAAGGAGTTATGAGATGTGGAGGTGCTTGGAAACGAGCCGGTGTAGCTGAAATCCCCAGGAGCTCGCTGATAGAGAAATGGTCTGATTGAAGTAAAGACTTTGTATTTGTTTGCAGGAAAAAAACCCAAACAAAACAAAACCAAACATACACAACCACCCCATCCCTGAATGTACTTACTGAGTGCCTTTACTTGCTTCCAATGAAATGCTTGTCTCTGAAGAGAAGCACAGTGGTTTCATGGCTGCCTTGCAGGGGATAGGACATATAGTAAAATTGCTGTGATTGAAAGCTGATGTGTTGTAGTAACTTAAAATCTGAGATGTTAAAATCACCAGTTATCAGCTGTGTTGGTGAATAGCATGTCCAGTGGGCAGCTCGTTGGCTGGCTTCAGCCTGTGATATCGTGCCACTCCGTGTTCCGAGTGGTGAGTTCCTTGACTTAGATGTGTTTGTCTGCTAGGTAGCAGAGAGCTGAAGGAGTGCTGCTGCCTGTCTCCCTTTTGGAACAGAGAATAAGATGGGTTTTTCCTCAGATTTACTCTAATGGAAAGAGAGAGGAAAGGCAGGAGCAGTGAGAGGTTTCGGAAGGAGTCCTGGAGGCCACTTGCGGCCATGAGTGAAACATTCTGAATTTCTACAAAGTACAGAAACTAAATCAAACCGAAGGTATAAGCTGTTATCGCATGGAGAGAACAAAATTGCTAATAACAGCGCAGTACTTTCTCAGGAGATAGATCTGTTCTCAATTAGAAAAGAAACAGATTGATGTCTTTAAATCACAAGAGAGCCGTGAGGTACTTTCCAGTCCATTAGTGACAGAGAATGTTAAAATAAAAATTACTAGGCATAAAAACATTTAAATCAGCAGGACCAAGTAATTTGTTCTCAGCTCCTAAAAGAGCTACTTGAGCTGATCTCTGCTCTGATGATATTAACTTTTAATAAATCTGGAAAGTTTGGGGGAATTCCAGAAGCCTGTGTTCAAACAGGGTGTGCGGTGACCCGCGAGTAACTGCCTCGGTTGGCCTTATCGCTCCTGGGCAAAGTGATGGACACGTTAGGAGAAAGGTGTTTGATTAGGAGTGAAAAGGTGCTCATATAATGAATGTCTGCCATGAAGTTTTATGGAAAGTAGTTGTAGTCCAAGCTGGTAGATGATTTTTTTTTTTTTAATGGGATTTTGAATTTGCTCAATAAAGGTGAATGTACGGATTTAGTACAATTTATGATACAGTGTTTTGCAGTTTTACTACTGCAAAATATTTTGATTTAAAAGTTGGTAGCGATACCATAAACAAGTATTTAAAAGTAGTGATGTGGCTAGTAGTTATAAAGATGACTAAATGCTCTGCACTACTCAGTAAAGTTGGCCCACTTAAATAAAGCGTAGCTTGTTAACGTGGCTGTTACTGTATCTACCTTAATCCAAAGCTGATTACTTTATAAACTTGTATATGTGATATGAGGCAGACTGTGTCTTAGAAACCGTAAGTTCTGACAAGGTTTCAGGTGCCAGATAGCATAATCTACCCTGAATTCCTATATGAAGAAACTATGTTAAAAAAAAATAAAATTATTGCTGTATAAATGGGAGAGCGGAGGCGGGAATGGGGGTTTGCTTTTGTACACGATACCCATAGTTTTGATTTGGGGTTACTGCAAGGGCTTGATCACAACTGGTAAAAAAAGTTTCTGCAGAACAAAGTGACAAAAACTAAGAGAAGGTAGGAAAACATTTCTTATTTTCTTCTCTAAAAGGTAGAGATTCACTTAATTTAATGCATTAATACCTTCATGTAAGGACAGTGCTTATCTCGTAAAAAAAGGCTTAGTGCACCAGCCCCTGAAAACCACAGCCAGATGTTCAACTTGGAATTTAAGTGTTTGTTATCAGCAACAAGAAGTGTCTGAGTACTGGTGAGTGTTATCACTGAAAGTGGGCACGTTTTGTCTGTCAGTGTCTTCCACTGGGAACAGGCACTTTCCTGGAGAAATTCAAGGTGCCTAAAACCAGATAAAAGTGAAAAGCGTCACAGAGCACCAGCTTATGTAGTTTAATGTTCCCTCAGGGTTTGCTACTTCTAAATCTAAAATGCAGTTCTTTTGTTTCAGAAAAAATCCAAGAAATCTTCAGAGACATTGACGTTTAAGAGGCCAGAAGGAATGCACCGAGAAGTTTATGCACTCCTCTACTCTGACAAAAAGTAAGAGCTTATGGTCATCTGTGCAGGTTGTGAGGTAGCCTGGGTTTTTGGTGGCAGGGCAGCATCCTCTGGAAACCACAGACAGTCTTGCTTCCCACATTGATTCCCCTTTGTGCATGGCTCATGGTGGTGCCCTTCTCTCTTAGACAGTCGTGGGGCACGTCTGTCTTCTCTCGTCTGAATTTGGGGGGTTTGTTCTGCATAAGAGATGAATTTGGTACGGGCACAATAGTCTAGTGCAGACAAGGCAGTGTTCTTACCCTTCTGTATCTAATTCTCTTTTATTCACAACTGGGAATAACACCTGCTTTTATTTCTGCAAAAAGAGTTCTACTGGAGCCTGCATTTAGCTTGTTATGGATTGTGCCCTTGCCCCAGGGGTCTGTTGCATAGTTTACTTTCCAGATGGTTCTGTTCAAGCCCATCCGTGCCGAGTATTCTGTCCCCTGATGCAGTCTGGGAAGTGAAAGGTTGGAATAAATTTTAAACTCAGCTTTAAGCATTAAGCAACTATAAGTATTGTGGTGGCAGATCCCACTCTGAGTCTGAAATCTCTTTGGGTTTATCCTGGGCTGCCTCTTGCTTCTTGTCAGCCAGTGTTTTTCTCCACCGCAGGGATGCGCCTCCCCTGCTGCCGAGTGATACAACTCAGGGCTATCGAACAGTCAAAGCAAAACTGGGGTCCAAGAAAGTCCGGCCTTGGAAGTGGATGCCTTTCACCAACCCAGCGAGAAAAGATGGAGCCATGTTCTACCACTGGAGGAGAGCAGCAGAGGAAGGGAAGGACTACCCTTTTGCCAGGTTCAATAAAGTAAGTGGGAGCACTTTCAAACAAAAGCATATAAATAGCAGCTGGAAAATACCCTTCAGTCAACTTCTTGAATGTCCAGACAGGAAGTTGGTTCTTTCAACAAGTGAAGGCTGAGTTAGATTTTGCAATTTTAAATTGCAGTGTGGCCTGCAGCCACGTGACCACAGACTATGATGTCTCCAGATCATTCAAGCTAAGTGGGCTCAGTATGTGGTCAGAACTTGCTCGAGCCCTCTGTGTTTCAGGTGTGCAGTCAATGATTTGGTAAGGAGGCACTCTGCCGTATAATTCAGTTCCTAACCGACATCCTCCCCTGATTAAAGGCTTTAGGTAGTAAAAGATACTCTGTTCTGAGTGAGTCTTTAAAGTCGTAAGTCTTGTTATTTTGCCCAGTATGAAAAAAATTGCCTGAGCTTTGTGGCCAAAAAGCTGTCTTGTGGCCTCTTGGCCAGTTTCCAGCACAGATGCTGAATTACATTGCGTTCCCTCTGAAATTATTCTTGTGGTATCAGTGTGGTGCAGTACCCTGTTCTTTGCGTCTTACATTAAATTGTCACGGTGTGTTGTTGTAATCTCCTGCTGCCTTTTGTCCCAGATGTATCTGCTGTGAATGGCTGGTGCTTTCATGTGTATGCACAAAGAAAACTACATCAAGATTTATACTTCAAAGTCAGGACCTCCAAAGTTAGGAAGGAGCAGAGTTAGGGTGCCTCCATAATGTAATTTAAACCCCTTCATGATGCAAATCTGAAGTGGGGGAAAAAGTGTGTGCTAACATGATTCCACAAAGGCTCTGCTTGCGTATAACTGTATACAACGTTTTAAGTTTGTAGCCCACAGAGCATCAGCTCTAACAAAGCCTGGCTTCCTGCAGAGTTAAGTGGTTGGTTGACCTTATATGTTAGAAGGCTCCAGCTCTGACATGCTTTTCGTCTTGCTGGGACATTGGTAAGAGCCTCCTGTGGTATCTCTTCTCTGATGTCTAGGGTGGAAGTCTGAAGCGTGACTCACTTAGTCAAGGCACCTACCCAGCTGTCTGAGTGAAACTTGGGGAACGTAATTGTCTCTAAGACTTTACTGCAGTAACAGTTTTTTGGCTGAGTTCAACTGAGTTTATCAGAGGGGGCCACACATGGGTGTTGTAGTTCTGCGATTCTTGTTTCCTTAACTTTATCGTGTACCATGAATTGACAGACAGAAGAGCCTTCAGCAAGGCTGCAACCTTTAGATTAGTGGTACAGACCTCTGCCATCTGCACATGCACAATTATATAATATTATAAGCAAGTTTTTACCCTTGTGGATCCATAGTTGAGGGGGTAGAAGGCACTGATGAGGAGTTTCGCAGATATTTGCTATGTCAGAAGAATGTTATTTACTTTTCCAGTCTCTTCTATGGGTTCTTTCTCAGGTACTTGATGCCTCTGCCCGAATCTCTTGCTCCCCTTGGCATAAGCCCGTTTTCCTGTGTAGTGTGTCCTGTTGGGTGCTCAAGCTCTTTAACCCGGCTCCTGCATCACTGCTCAGTTGCTTTGCCTTTTCTCTGGGCTTTCAGTCCCCAAACCAAATCCCTCCTCTTCATTGTGAGAACCAAAAAGGTAAATTTATGTTTCACAATGTATACTGAGCCTTGATCCAGGGTGTGAAATAGGAATAGAAAAGCAGATTCACTGGTGTCAGAGCAAAGGCCTCTCTCAGTAGATATTCTGTTTCTGGCTACCATCAGTAAATGTTTAGAGAAAGAGCATGAGAATGGGGCTAATACAGACTATTTTTTCCTAGCTTGTGGTGATCTTTGGCTTAAGGATTTCTTAACTTGGAATTTGTGTTTAATAATTCTTGCTAGGTACGCTCAGAGCAGAAAGCTGCTTTGTGAATATCCTGTGGTAATGAGTTCTTCAGGTTAATTTTGTATGGTGTGCAAAGGTGCTTTCTTCTCTTAATTTTAAACGGTTGCTTTGGGGTTTTATTTCATGCCTCTGAGATCTTGTGTTACATGATGCAGTAAATTGTCCTTGCTGTGTACTGTGTGTTCTGTAATTGGACATACATCTGCCCTTCTGTGCCCTGTCTCCTCCTTGTTGTTCTCAAATATAATTTCTTTTGAAATGGGTGGACTGGGAGTGAGCGTTTCACTTAGGGAAGCATGGCAGGTTTGTACATTGGCTGTGTTTCTCTTTATTTCCCTGATAATTTTTACTGCTCAGTTTGTCTTTTCACCATTTCTAAGCATTGTGCTGATGTTTTTACAGAACTGTCTCATGGCTCCAGGATTTTTCCTGGGCAGTTTCAGCTAATTTAATGCCCATCATTGTGTGAGTTTATAGTGTGAAATGTAGGACTGAGAGGGGTTTTCTGGGCCATTGAATCCTCTTCTTGGCTCTTTCAGGTCCTGCACCATCCAGTCCCTTTCATAAACTGATCAAGTTCCTTTTGAAAAGCACTTGGGATTTCCTGCCCCTGTGCTTCCTTGAGAAGCTGTTCCGGACTGTCTCTGCTCCATTTCTCATTTCCATGTTAAATTTTCCATGTTAAATCGGCATTTCTTTGCAAGCCAATTTCTTTGTCCTTATTTCAGTTGTTCTTTTCTTCCCGTGGGTATTCCTTTCATTCCATCTAGCATACTTGAAGCCTGCAGTCAGATTCCCTTTCAGATTTCCTTTGCTGGGCTCCTTTCTCCTCCAATCTGCTGTGGGAAGACAAGCTCTCCACCCCATTACTCATCCTTGTTGCTCTTCTCTGTACTTGTTCCCATTTCAGTTCATCTTTCCTGAACAGGGGTCAGTAGAGCTGTAGTTGGTATTCCTGCCAAGGTCTTGTTGTGCAACTGAAACTCTGCCAGTTTCTGCTGGAAATCCCTCTCTGGGGGTCATATTTGCATTTTCATGGCTATGTTGCATTTGAACTTACAGTCATCCCTGGCTGGCTATAACTTTCCATCTGATGAGTTCCCACCTTCTCACTTCTTGGCAGTTCTCACCTGAGCAGCCGTTAAGTGGGGCTGAGGAAGTGTTTTGGGGACTGCTCTTTGCTCTTATCCCATTCTTTTCTCTGATCAAACATCTGCCACCTTCCCTTCCACCCACTGCAGAGGACACTGCTGACTCTTTTTATGTATGTGTGCTACTCTAGAAAATATTTTTATGTTTCACGATGTACATAGGACATCCTTATGGTGTCTAGTAGGATGGCTTTTCTCCTGGTGGAAGTGGTAATTGAAGGTTGAGGTGTAGTGAAGAGATATGCTTCACCTTTGGGTGAAGCCCCTGTGTCTAAGTGATGGAAGAAGGGCAGTAGACCTAAAGAAGCTGTAATTTGAAGGCTCGGAAATGCTGCTCTGAGCTATATGGAGTTCATGGAGAACTCATATGGAGAATGACTCTTCTGGTGTAGGATTTGGGAGGGCATAGTTGAAGCATGAGTGCTGCTCACATGCACATTATGTTTTCTTGTGGAGGCAGGACCTCCTCAGGCTGAGCAAAGTTCCAGTGCAGGAGTGGTGGGAGGGGGTAAGGGAGGAAAGCACAGGCTTGTTTGTGCTTTTACTTTACCATGTGCTAGGACTTCCCCTAATACATCAAGTAATTTTACGGTTCCTTTAGTACTCATGTGACACTTGTGTTCTGGATAGAGACCTTGCAGAGTGGTTCTGGGCTGGGGACAGTGGTGTGGGTTTGGCCTTTTAGGCACCTGGGACACTGAGAGGTGGACTGCCGTTTGGCCCTGTGGCTCTTTTGGAGAAAGGGTGGGTAAGGAAGGAACGGACAAAGTTGTTTGTCAAGTTTGTGGCCCTCAGTTGTACAGCACCCAGCCTTTCAGATCTTCATAGCACTGTCTGCACCAAACATGAAAGAAGTGGGTTGTGTATCAAAGCAGAAGGTGTGCTAAATGCTGGGATCGGACGCTCCTTGTCTTTCCCGTTCTTCCCGAACAAGTGGGCATGTCCCAACCCAAGTAGAGCCAACTGTCAGAGCAGTTTATGTCAAGGTATTGGTGCTGCTATATGGGAGGAATGCAGGGAGGCTGGCTGAACCTTGGTTTCACTGTCATGTTAGCCTGATAATTTTGAAGCCTGTTGTCAGGATGTGGGTTGCTGACCTCTGCCTGTGTCAGCCACCTGAAATAGGTTGCAGCCTCCCAGGCAGTGTTTCCTTGTAGGCTCTCCAGAACATCATGTTTGTGGCCCTGAGATCACCCCCTCCTGTCATTGCTCTACTCATGTTTTTGGCTCAAGCATCTCAGCCTTTACCAGCTGTCAGTGAGAAGGACAATACTGCAAGAGAGCTACCATGTTTTTCTTTTCTCTGCATAGACGGTGCAGGTACCTGTCTACTCGGAGCAGGAGTACCAGATGTATCTCCATGATGATGCATGGACCAAAGCTGAGACAGACCACCTCTTTGACCTGGCTCGGCGTTTTGATCTGCGCTTTGTGGTGATCCATGACCGCTATGACCACCAGCAGTTCAAGGTGAGTCCTGGGGGCCAAGGTGCTGCTAGCAACCTGCTGTTATGGCACGTGCAGGGCTTGCTGCACTGCAAAGACCAAATTACCCTTTATATCAACTTAATTAGGGGAAAATAATGAATTATTGGCAGCAAGGAATATTGAATTTCTAGCACAGGGCATTGCTGCTTGCTTTGTTTCTAATTAAATCCACTGTGACTTGTGCTCATTCCCTGTTGTGTTTTATTAGAAAGTTAGAAGGTTTGCCCCTGCCAGGGGAACAGCTTATTGTTCCTTGAAGATAAGGCAGCTGGGGAGTTTGTTTAGCTGGGCAGGATAGGTGTGCTGGATTCCAGTCTAGGCTCGGGGAGAAGGATCTGCTAATGGTTCCTGGGTATTGGGATTTTTCCCTTGTGCTGCTCCTGACTTGTGGTCTGACCTGGTACAGGTTTCTTCATCTCTGCTGTGAAGCAGGGTCTATTAGTGGTCTAAAGATGCAACTCTGGTGTCATGATTGTAAATCTCCTGTAGCTACTGGTTCCATGTCTCCTGGTGACACAGGGGAATGATGTGACTTACAGAACAGCTCCAAATGCAGTGCTTTTTGTTACACTCCGGAATGCTCATGTGAAGAGCCTGTAGCAAAGTGGAATAAGAGTCTGCCCAGCTGAGCAGCCCAAACATCTTTGGTGCTTGGAGTAAGGCAATGCAGCTCAGACTTGATATAATGATGGGCAACAACAAATCATTGCAGCTGATACCTTCTTGGTTATGGCTTGAATGGCCATTGTCTGGAACGGCTCAGGGGAGGTCTCCTGTGCATTTGTCACAGTTTCCTTTTTGCAGGTTTTCTCCTCTTGAGACAACTATCTTGCATCCTTTTATCTGAGAGTGCTTCGTTGCTGTATTGTCTCTAACCCTCAACTGTATTGTTGGACTCTCTGTGGGTGCTTTTAAAGCAGGAACTGTGAATTCATGACGGTTAATTCACACAGTTCACTGAGAAATCCCCCCATCTCTGTGGTTCCACTGGGACTGGCAAGGCTCTCCTCCCAGGCAGTGTCTGACATGCTTACATCCTTCAGCCAGTGGTCCTGAGCTGGCTACTGCACAAGGTTTTGCTTGGTTCTTCCATAATGTTGTGTTTCTGTAATATCTTCCATAGAAAAGATCAGTGGAGGACCTGAAGGAACGATACTATCACATCTGTGCCAAGCTGGCCAATATTCGTGCGGCTCCAGGCACAGACCTGAAAATCCCAGTCTTCGATGCTGGCCATGAGAGGCGAAGGAAGGAGCAACTGGAAAGGCTGTACAACAGGACCCCAGAACAGGTAACCTGGGGAAGAGAGCAGCACAGCTCCAAAAGATTTATGATAAATTTAATCAGTAGGTGGATGAAATAGGCCAGAGGGGTAGGAAAGGGAAAGAAAGACGGGACAAGAAAAGAGCAACACCTAAGTATTGCTTTTGTTGTTGAGTTCATGTCATTTTTAAGGACACAAAAGGACAGTAACTGAGAAATCTGACTATGCAGGATCGGGGGCTAGGTGAGCAGAGTTAAGATCTCTGGTAACTGCCACCACCTTCTCTGTGACACTTACTGGACTAGTCCTCTGAATAGAAAGAAATTCTCAGATCGGTGTCCTTATTTATATGAGTCCCTGAGTCCTATGGAGAAAGAATTATTTCCTTTAGAATAAAAATCTTGCCAGAAAACATCAAAGACTGTAAATCTGCATGTTTAGTTCTCCTCTTTGTTGATGCTGTGTAACAATCCCAGGGTTTAGAGGTTAAGGAACTGTTCCCCCCTGCCAAAGTCTGGGAGAGAGCATCCTTTTCTGTTAGTAGTTCCCTCTAATGACAAGTTCATATGTGTAATGAGTCTACTTGTCCTTCCCACATTAATAGGTGTACTGATACTAAGCACAGCTACTCTAGGTTCTACATGCTACGTCTGGGGAGGGCTGCCAGCTTTTCCCAACACTGCATTTGTAACTACAGTATATTTGGGCTTTTTACTCTTCTATCTGCAATCTCCGTCTCTTTGTCTGGAGGTGGGATTAGTCGTTTTCAGATGCTGCTGAAGGGCACATCATGGACAGTACGTGCCAGTTCGTAGGCTGGCATTGTCATAGATGCAGGGTAAGGCTGTGGAGCATAGTGTGCTCTGCAAATCCAAGATAACTAAGAGTTTAAAGTGGTTTCCAGGCTGGCACAAAGCAGAGCTGTTACCGGTAGATGGCCTCCTTGCCTTGCTCGCCTCCTCTGCTGCTCTGATTGCTTTTTCGTGCTCTGTTCTGCAGGTGGCAGAAGAAGAATACCTCATCCAGGAGCTCCGCAAAATTGAAACCAGGAAGAAAGAGAGAGAAAAGAGAACCCAAGACCTGCAGAAGCTCATCACAGCTGCTGACACCACCACTGAGCAGAGACGTGCTGAGCGCAAGGCTCCCAAGAAGAAGCTGCCACAGAAGAAGGAGACAGAGAAGCCTGTAAACATTTATCTTTTTTTTTAATTTTTTATTTTTTTAACTTTCCCCTGCTTATGCTCTGGCTGGTAACGTGTTTCCTTCAGCAATCCTACTGGGATCAGGCCCTCAGCATTTTTTTTTTGGGGAGTAGCTGCTGGCTGCCTTCTGGCAGGTGCCTTTTTGGTTATGTCTTTTGGAAGGCAGATAGGTCCAAGGCAGACATTGTCAGAGTCCTCTGGTGTGCTCTCTGTCTCTCTCCCATTTGAAAAACGCCAGTTTAAGTCCTGTTTCCCTTTCCATCTCAGAGAAATGGGATAAAATGATGCCAGCCATTCATGCCTCATGGCAAGGAGAAGTGTCTGTCTCCCTGCTTCTCCCAGGTGCATTCTTGTACTGCTGTGCAGGGTTATTCCACAAACCTGGTGTCTTTCACCTGTCTTCTTTTTCTAGTCCAGGTTTCCCTTTCCTTTCCCACTCCTGGGTCTCAGCAGCATCTCCCCAAGCTCAGTACATGCCCCTCTCCTGATCCTGCTGGGAGACTCTCCTATTCCAGGAACTATTGCTTCTTATTCCTCCCTGAGCTGAGCTAAAGTCTAAGGAGCACAGAACACAGGTTTCAATTCACATTTGATGTTACCTTAATTTCCCGTTCTGGAAAGATGACAGCATGGACTGAACTAAATTCAGCACCTTCACTAAAAAAGGGCTGTCACAAAATCTCAGATGTTTCCAGTGAGACCCTGGGAATTCCTGTCCCTCCACCTTATGAACAGAGAGCACTTGTGTCATTGTCCTCCAAAAGAGTCTGCAGGGAGTGGAGAGTGAATGCTAGACAGTAATTGCTTGATGAAGTGTGTCTAATGGCCACCACTTCCTTAAAACATTGTTTTGGTTGCCCCACCGCCCCTCTGTGTAATTAATATAATATCACAGGACGCCCTGTGCATTGAATTCCCTCGAGGGTTGATCTGGTAAAGCTCAACCATGGCTGGCATTTCTCCCTCTAAAGAAAGCAGCTCATCCTTAGTGATAATGGAAAAAGGGTGGTGATGAATAATGAGGCTGGAAAGATGCTGAGGATGCCAAGGTGAGGGAGTCCAGCCTTAAATATTGCCTTTTGGCTGGTGCCTGTCTGCAGGCATATAGTGTATAGGCACGCCGGCGTGGACAGAGAAGCAGTTTCTGTTGTTGCACTAGCATCATTTCAACCATGACAGAGTCCATTAGGAGTCAATTACCAACTATAGCCGGGAAATGTTAAGAAAAAAATTGCATTTTAACTAAGAATTTGAATCGGGAGCTGCATCAGCATCATTTCAACAAAGGAAAATCATTTACCAAAGAGTCAATTGAGGTTGAAGCGTTTACAGCATGTACAGGCACGCCAGGCAAAAGAACCCATTTAATTGCTTATGCGCCGAGCGCAGTCGGAGTTGTCTTGGCTCAGCCAATGATGCTGATTTCCCCCTCACTGCTCGTGTCAGGGTGCTCAGCAACAGGCTGGGGGGCAGATTTCGGGGGTGTCTGAAAGCCAGCCTTCACCCAAAGGAATCCGCGAGAATTGGTTTTTGATTGCAGCCTTCTTTGTCTGTAATAATCCAAGCAGGAGGCTACATTCTACCCAAAATCAAAGTGATCCCTACAAGTTCATGAGCCTTGTTGGTAGTTAGGGAATACTTTTCCCACCATGGTTATGTTTAGAAATCTCTTCCTGGGGCCTCTGTTTATTGGACTGACCACAGATAACTGAAAAAAATCTTAATGCCTGGCCATGCAGAGCAAGGTGCAACCTCGAGACCATGACATAGAGAGAGAGCTGATAGAGATGTGAGAGTCATTGGCAGGGAACTTGAGGAATTGAGTCACTGGCCTTCAGCATCTCTTATGATCTTGGGGCAGCCCTGGTTGTCTCAGCCCTGTCCGGAATGAACAAAGAGCAACCCGCAGAGCCTTTTTGCAGAGAAATGTGGGAGCAGCAGGAGAACACCATCTCCGAAGAAATTGGGAGATTTTAGGGGACTCTTCCTTTTGGAACAGTGTGATTGAGTATGTGTTTTGCAGAGATTGTGGCTATTCTTAAATTGAATCATGAGTATCGCTGCCCCATTCAGGGGACTCCACACCAGTCAGTGCACAGGGCCCTGCAGATGCCTTGGTTGAATCATTTAAAAGTTTCCTCACCTTGTGCTTTGCTCAGCGGTGCATATTTTAAGGGACTGCGTTTGTTTGGTTTTTTTTTTCCATTTTGTTGAAATCCAACTAAATGCTCTATTGTCTAGCAGCAGTAGCATTAGAAGTTTGCTGCCTTGCATTGCTCTGCTTAAAATGTGAAGTGGGGAAGAAAGAAAACTATCTAATGAGTGGTCAAATGGCAATGTGTATAAACAGCAGGCCTCCCTGGAGGGGTGCAGTCCTTGAAACCTCATCAGTGGGCGCGTGTCCGTACAGATCAGAGGTTTCTCAGCTCATTCCTTAGAGAAATTGCAATGAAAAGCCAAGATTTGGGGAATTACTGGGCATTTTAATCAGTGAAATGGCCCTAAGTTAAATAAGGATATTGTCCAAATATGCATATGTTAGTATAAGGAGTAGGATTTAGGGCTAGGGTTTATGCTCGTGTGGATGGGTGTAAGGCTCTGTGTAGAGCAGTGCATTTAAATTAAACAAGGAAAAATGCTTGAGCTCTCCAAAGATATGTTGAACTGGAGTATTTTTCTCAGTGAATTGCTTGGGATTTTCCCACTGAAGCCCATCGCTTGGGATTTTCCTTTTGCCTCAGCTCTGACATGTGGCTGTGGCAGGTGGTTCTCTGTCATAGGAAACAGTGTTTCCCCTTCAGATAGTCTCTATATGAAATCTTGTGTTTCCTCCATCAACACATCCTGTTTCGATCTCTTTCAGGCTGTTCCTGAGACTGCTGGCATCAAGTTTCCTGACTTCAAATCTGCAGGTGTCACACTGCGAAGCCAGAGGGTAAGCTGTTGTCCTGGTCCCTTGGGACCTCTGTTAATGTCTTTCAGTCTGCCTGTCTGTCTCCTCATCTGTTCTCCTTTTATAGCTAAAGAAAGTCAAGTTCTTGCCTCTAAAATAAGAAAGGAATTCCGTAAATGTGGAGACTCAGAAACCTGGAATGCTGGCTCTGTGCAAGCCAGCTCATCGCCTTGCAGGGGCACCTGAACTTGCTGATGCTCGTTAGTGGTGTGTCTGCTCTGCTGTTAGACACACGTGACAGACCCAAATGGAGCTGGCTAGTCCAAACAGAGCTCCCAGCCAAACCTAATAGGCCTCATAGAGCACATGTGTTAATAAATGAGAGGTGCTATTAAGAACTGGATGTTCAGGTTGTGACTTGAAAAGAAGAGAGACACATAAATGCATACAATTTTTAGCCTTATTGCCATTAGCTTCAGAAAATATTTGGGGAAAAGCTCCTTTGTTCATTCTGTTGTACAGATATTCCTGAGAAAAGAACTTTCTTGCTGTTTTATCAGCAAGACTTGATGCCTGTCTCTTAGCGACAGGTATGGGGTAACCGAGTCAGTTAAACCTGCCTGGCTAACTGTATGTTTTCAGAGGGGTTTTGATAGAAAAATCCTGTTTGCCCAGTATAAGTGCTTTTTTTTTTTTCCTAGCTAAATAAAATAATCCTTAGTTGCTTTATTGCAGCAAAGGTGGAAAAGTAGGTTCCTTGCCTGGCACCCTCACTGGGTGTAGTAATTTTCTAGGTCACTTTTAAAGAATGTTTTACGGGGTGTTCGTTTGATGTCGGAACAGTTTCAGATCTTGCTGGGAAGGCCCTGGGGCTGTTAACAGAAATGTGTTTGGGATCAGGCTGCTGCAACCTATGGGTGCATCTGCACATTAGAAGTGGTATGGTCCAGCAAGGTCACTGCTGGTGGACCCCTTTAGTGTACAGGTGTCACTATCTGCAGGCTACCTGTTTGAGGGAGGGGCTACAGCCTTGAGGAATTCACAGGCAAGTGACAGGCAAGACTGCAGTGCATGTGTTGAGATTTATGGAGATGTGGCAGATGTGTTCCCCGGCACTAAGATAAATAGAGTAATTTATGGAGATTGATTTGGATTTTGAAAACTAATAAGTGATGGTTGATCTTTTCTATTTTTATACACCCTCTGGAAGAGAAGCTGAGCAATAACCTGTCAGTGATGGAACCATCTGGCAAAGCCAGCAGGCTTTTCGTGTGCCAAATGGGCAATTCAAATCCCAGCCTTTGTGAAAATGGGTGCTACATGCTTCTCCCTGTTCTCTCTAATGCTCACAAAATGCAGTGGTAAGCTGAGGCACAGCAGTCTGATTCAGCAACTTTCAGCCCGCAGTATCCAGTTTTTAAAATGGGAGCTAATAGACTCACTTGCTTCAAATATGGGTGATGGGGAGAATTAATTACATGAGGTCAGTAAGGGCCTTTTGAACTGGTGAGAGAGACTGAAGTGTGAAGTGGTCTAGAGCTGACAATCCATGCTAATCCCAATTACTTCGCTTGTGGGATTTATGTGGCAAACCCTCTAACACCAGTGGTGTGGAATTGATAAAGTGGGAGCTGACTAGGACTAAGTGAGGAATTGGGAAGCTGCACTGGAAACTTGTGCTCTGGCAACATCCAGCATAAGATGTTTTGCCCTGAGCACATGGGAAAATGATTTCTAAAGGCTTGTGACATCCTGCAGTAAGTTCTTTTGCCTGAGGACCTAAAGGGTTCCTCACCTAGAGGCTTCTATTGTCCTCTTTTATTTTGTACTTCGCTACCTTGCTTTACGCCTTCCTAGTTAAGCTAAGTTGGATTTTGCACTGAGATCAGGGACGCAACCTCTGTCACGTGTGAAAAATGTACCATATCATCCCCAGGATAATAGCGCTTACTCTTTGATTAGAGATATAATTTGTTTTTTCCTGAGGATTTACAATTAGTCTGAAAACTTGAGTTAAAATTAATTTATAGAAATGAGTCCTCGAAGAAAAAGTTAGCAATCTGTATTCAACTTAATTTGTTCCCAGTAGTTTTTATGACAATAGCCCTGGCTTTTCAAGTTCCGCCTGTCATTAAAGCTTACAAAATCTTATGCACGGGCTGAATTTGAAGACTTCCCCCTCCTCTCCCCACCCCCCCAGGATTAATGGTCACTTACGACCATTATTCTTCATAACCGAAAGTTTCTCCTTCAGCAGACGCTGAAGAGTAATCTTCTCCAGTGAGTTCGACAAGCTGCCTTCTATCACAATGGCTTCAGTCTCCCATTGTTCTCCATGGGGCTGTGGCCACAGGCAAAGAAGGCCACAGCCCCCGTGCCCTTTCTCTGCATGGGATTTCCCCTCTGCCTCCTGATAGCACAGACTGCAAGTTTCTCTAAGGCAGTAGGAAGCTGGGCATTATGAAAAGCTTCGTCTTAATTCAAGGCAGTGTATTGCCTTGGTGCCCCTGAGAGCAGGAGGCAGTAGCAGATGTTGTGGAAGGGGGTAAGCCTTTCAGGAGTTTCTTGAAAAGGAATTTTAGACCTTTGCCTTTGCTGTCAGTAAAACAGTGTTATGAAAATAACAGCAGAAATGTATTGTTAATCCTAAGCGTTACTTGTGGAAAACTTCCTGTTAGACCAGGTCTGCTCAGCTGGGAGGGCAGACAGCCAAAGAGCCAGAGGAAATGAGAGATGGGTAGGGAATTTGTACAGGGAAAGGTGAGGAAGAGACTAAAGGGAAAGCAGAGAGCTATGAGGAAGGAAAGCTTTGCTGGGGATCTGCCTGAAGGAAAGGAAAATGGGAACTGTTGAACTTGAATCTTTTCCAGGACCCAGACAAACCAACGATAACCCCGTGTTTGTGATCTAGGCATCGTGTTACTCCTGTAGGGCAGAGCTGAGTTTGTTTTGAATTCACCACAGTATTTCTGTGCCATATTGTGTTCAGGTTTCTTTTAAGTTTAACCTTTGTCTTTGATTTTACTGTGTTCAGAGTACTTGACTTTGGCACACTTAACATCTCTACAGCATGTTTTACGTTGCTCATCTTCTGTCTCAACCTTATCTGTGAATTTTAAGTTATGTTTTTGTTAATGCTGTTGAATTACTGCAGCAGTGCTTCTAAGAAGGAAGGTGATGGCTAGAAAAGGGTAGATGTTTGTCCCCACTCCCTCATGTTGAGGTGTAAGTCTTTGTCCTTGCTGTGTTGTCACAGGTTTGGAAACAAAGGAACTGGAATCGAATTGATTGAGTGATATCTCATCTGGAAACAAAAAAAAAGTCCGGGGTGCAAAGGAGTTTGTAGAGATCTCAGTCTGCAGAAATAACCGAGGGATGCTCCAGCTTAGTCATTTGGAGCTGGCCACCTCCCCTCAGAAAAGGCTTCCAGCCAGCAGCCTGACTCCATCTGCTAACTGGGATCTTGTAGACAATTTGCCAGTTGAACCAATTAAAAAAAGAAGTAGAGGAAGGAAAATCACAAGTACAGCTTTAGTACTCATTGATTCAAATGTTCACACTCACCAGATTTTAAATATTTACTAGCCTGCTGAGCATTTTTTTAGCACTGATTAATGAGTAAGAATTTACTGTGTTTATGTGGGGAACGCATGTGTGAGAGTTCTTATCCATTTTTTTCTTGGGGTGGAAACTGAGTGCTTACTGTAGCTCCAAGGTGAATAATGTTTCTAGAGGAAGATGGGGTTGTATGTAAGTGTTTAGACATGTTTATTCTCCATATTTGATCTGACCCACAATTAAATGGCCAAGCACACCGCCTGTTTACTCTACGTCGGAGGCTGTTGGCTCTGTTCCTTCCCTGTCATTAATGCAAACCCAGACCTCATCAGCTGTGAACATGTGAAACATCTGTCTGTCCTGCTGTGATCAATACTGTCCCTTCAGAGGTTCAGCTTTGGAAGCAGTTCCATAAAATATCAGTTATTTTTATTTGGATTTGATAAATTTAATTACTTGGAGCAATTAATAATTTATTTGTTTTGTATTGATTGCACTCCAAGGCAACCTGGCATCAATCTGATGGAGATCAGCACACCCTTATTAGGTAGGAAAGTTTATGTTTCCAGATCTGAACATCCTGTGGATTAGTTAGCTGAGATGTGCTTGTTGCTTTTGCTAGCAATTTTTCACCAGCAAACTTGTGTGTTTTGCACTCTACAAGAGAGCGGATGAGAGTAATTTCCATGGGGAGCCTGACAGAGGTGTGGAAGGAAAGTAGTAGTCTCATTTCTGTGAATAAAAGTTATGAACAAATGATGCAGACTGGATCGAATTCATGTTGTGGCATTGCCATCTACTTGTTATATTACATGCCCTTTAATTAGGGCCAAGAGAGTGCTGGTGCATTTCCTAATCAAACTCCTGCCTTTAGAGAATGAAATCAGATGAAAATATTGGAGTATTTCAAAGAGAACAGCAAAGGATACAAAACCTTGAATGAACTAGAGAAAGTGAATCCAATGCTTCTCTTCCTCCGTTCTCATTCTTAGCTAAACTGAAAGGCAGTTAATGTCAAATTGCTGAAAGAAAATGCATCCCTCACCTTTTTTGTGGAGCTCTTTGGTGTGGGAGAGCATCTGGACCAAAGCCTGAGTAGGCTCTTGGGTATAAGTAGAGCTCTCTGGGTGCAGTAGTGGGGAATAAGTTGTAGTTCTGGAAAGGACACTCTGTGTTGCTGCTTCTGTTGAATCGTGAGGTACTAAACAGTGTCTCTGCAGTACGAGCCCTCAGGGACATTTGTCTGCCGGTCCTGGACCAATTTGGGAAGCTTTTACTACCTTTGTGTGCCTGTAGTGACACGGTCTTAGGTGTTCTTTCGTCAGGTAATCTGAATGTAACTTGTGCAGAGCACCGTATATATTACTTTTTTCTTTCATTAGCCTAACCAATATAATGATTGGAGTGTAATTAGTCACTGTGGCTTTTTGTATTTGTGTAAATGTAGTTTCGGTTAAATTATTTAAGGGAAAAGCAAACATCAA